TTCACTTTCATGCATTGGAGAAGGAAATGGCAACCCACTCCAGTATTCTTGCCTGGAGAATCCCAGGGACAGGGGAGCCTGGTGGGCTGCCATCTATGGGGTCGCACAGAGTCAGACATGACTGAAGCAACTTAGCAGCAGCAGCAGCCGCCTTGCAATATATATATATATATATATATATATATGTATTCATATATTCACATTGTTGTATAGCAGAAACTAACAACATTGTTAAGCAAATATACTTCATTTTTTTTTAGGGTGGCTATAATTTTTTTAAAAAGCATAGCAAATATTAGTGAGGATATGGAAAAACTGGAACACTCAATACTTGATGGTGGGAATGTAAATGATGTGGCCACTTTGGAAAAAATGTTTTAATAGTTTCTCAAAAGTTAAACACAGAGTAGCCATATGACCTAGCAATTCTGCTCCTAGGTATATACCCATGAGAAATGAAAACACATGTCCATAAAATAACTCATACATGAATGCTACATAAAATAAACTAGTTACAAAATAACAAATATTGTATGATTCCATTTATATATATGAATGTCCAGAATAGAGAAACCCATAGACAGAGAGTAGATAAGTGGTTGCCAAGGGTTAGGGAGAGGGGGTAGTGACTGTAATGGGTAAGGGCTTTTTGGGGGAGATGATGAAAATGTTTTTTAATTAGATAGTGGTGATGATCATGAATGTACTAAAATTCATTTAACTGTATACTTCAAAAGAGTGGATTTTATGGGATGTAATTATAGCTCAATAAAACTGTTACAAAGAATTTTAATTAGCATTTAGGATGAAATTAGGTACTTACTAAAACATAACTACTCTTTTTAGAAGACTCCATTACCTAATATTGTAAATTACATGTCATATGGAGAAAACCACATTTTGCAGGAGCCCAGTCACATATACATCTCTCCACATATGCCCTTCTCCTCCCAACACTCCCTCACTCTATCAAAATAAGAGGGGTATGTTTTGACGGGGCAAATATTTTGACAGATCACCTGAGATGAAAAGGGGAACTTCCACTTAGTGGTTGTTCCCAGTCAGTGCCTGTGAAAGTACAAGAGAAGGTCACTGGGTGGCTTTCTAAGAGTTTCTGCAGCTGAGAGTCCCTTGGACTGCAAGGAGATCCAACCAGCCCATCCTAAAGGAAATCAGTCCTGAATATTCATTGGAAGGACTTTGGCCACCTGATGCAAAGAACTCACTCATTTGAAAAGACCCTGATGTTGGGAAAGATTGAAGGCAGGAGGAGAAGGGGATGACAGAGGATGAGATGGTTGGATGGCATCACCGACTCAATGGACATGAGCTTGAGCAAGCTCTGGGAGTTGGTGATGGACAGGGAAGCCTGGCATGCTACAGTGCATGGGGTTGCAAAGAGTCGGACACAACTGAGTGACTGAACTGAAATGAAACTCCCTCTGGAACCTCCCTCCCACCCACCACCATCCCACCCCTCTATGTTGTCACAGAGCATTGGGTTGGGCTCCCTGGGTTATATACCAGCTTCCCACTAACTACCTATTTTACACATGATAGTGTATATATGTCAGGGCTGCTCTCTCAATTCTCCCACCCACTCCTTCCCCTGTTGTGTCCACACGTCTCTTCTTTATGTCTGCGTCTCTATTCCTGCCCTGAAAACAGGTTCATCAGTACCATTTTTCTAGATTCCATATGGACATTAATATATGTTTTTCACTTTCTGACTTACTTCACTATGTATAGCAGACTCTAATTTCATCTACCTCCCTACNGCTAAGAGTTGGACACGACTGAGCGGCTTCACTTTCACTTTCCACTTTCATGCACTGGAGAAGGAAATGGCAACCTACTCCAGTGTTCTTTCCTGGAGAATCCCAGGGACGGGGGAGCCTGGTGGGCTGCCGTCTATGGGGTCGCACAGAATCAGAAAAGACTGAAGCGACTTAGCAGCAGCAGCAGCAGCAGTGTACACAAAATGATATATTGTTTTATTTCTCTGATCATTCTTCTGGGTAAATATGTAGGAATTAGAAGGTGGATGACAATATCTTAGTTTGTTTTTTAACATATTTTCCAACATCATGCTTAGATATCTTTGTTGAAGCTTTTGAAAATGACATTACAAAGTTTAGAAAACTTTTATGAACAGCTCATCTTTGAAAATCAATGAAGAAAGTAGCATGAAGTGAGGCAAGATGGACATGTCGGAATTACTCCCTTGATTCCTCCTGGGACACTGACCTCCTGGTTTTTCATTTGGCACTGATTTTTAAGTCCAGTAATTTTACTGTACTTGTTTCAGCAGGTAAGCCTCGCATGCTGCTAAATCTTCTTCTAGTCTTGTGCTGGGCATGTGTGCTAAGTTGCTTCAGTCATTATCCTACTCTTTGCAACCCTAGGGACTGTAGCCCACCAGGCTCCTCTGTCCATGGGTTCTCCAGAAAGAATACTGGAGTAGGTTGTCATGCCCTCCTCCAGGGGATCTTCCCGACCCAGAGATCAAACTCACATCTCCAGCATTGGCAAGCAGGCTCTTTACCACTAGCACCACCTGGGAAGCCCATGCTGGGC